TGACAAGGGAGAGATCTGTGTTGTTTACATACAGACCTCTCCCCTGACATGTGTTCCTCGGCGATCGCTTAGTTTGCCGGCAGGGAATCTCCGGCTGGGATGTGTGTGATCGACAGCTGTAGCCACCAAATGGCAGCGTGGGTAGGGGCGTCGCGCGCTTGCGCACCACCTACTGGAAATGCAAAATAATGTATATTTTTATACTGTGATTTTGCACAGCGCTGCCACCCTGTAGCAGTAGTTCTGGCTAATAGGGCAGCAGGGAAGCAGTTAAAGTCAAGATGGTAAAGTAAATGTAAAACAAGCATAATACCAAATTAATATTGTAGTTAGAAACACAAAGAAATAAGCTATAATATTTCCTCTTACTAAGCTTCTTATTATTTAGGCTAGTTCCAGCTAGGATTCCAATCTCATGAATCCTTATCTTCCCGCACTTCAGCCCCTATCTTAAACGTCAGCGCGGAAATCTAGCACATGCACAATTAAATTACATCAAGTAATGGTAGTTCTCAGAACTCTTGTGGGATTTCACAGTTGTGCTGAGGAAATAGAATGACATAAAGACAAAATGTTTTTTGTACAGATAGACAGCATGCTAAGTGACGTCATGGACAGAAGGAGAGGGTGATATCTCCCTAAGGGCACAGCTTAAAAAAAGTTATAAAGACACCAAATAGTAAGGTAGACCAGTGTATCTCAACCTTTTTTCAGTCAAGGTACCCTTTTAAATTATGAACAATCTCAAGGCACACTCTAAAATTTAAACAGTCTCGATGCACCCCATTCTAAAGTGTAAAAACGATTCTAATAGTTTTACATAATGCAGCAATATACACACATGTAGGACACTCAACGTTAGAGGTGATTTATTCTTCCAAATCACATACACTTTTGCACACTGGTACTGACTAGTATGCCAGTGTTACTTTTCTCCTTAATTTTTTTCTACATTACTCAGCTAATGTGACCCCAGTGCTGTAAGAGAGAGAGGCAGGGGAGGGTCAAACAAGGATGATGATATCATTGGTTGTTTGAATGCCAGCGGTTAGACGGTCATAATGGTGCACAATGAAAACCTGTGGCTTGTGAAACTTAAAAAGGCAGGCTTGATCCACCTTTGGCTTGTATACAAATATTTTGGCAATTTTTAGGTATTTTGCTAAGTCACTCCTGAAGAAGCCTCAAGGCACCCCAGGGTGCCTGGGCACCCTGTTTGAAAAAGGTTGAGTTAGACTATACTGTTTGAGTTGTATGGTGGTGAATCATTCACTGCCTAGTAAAACAAATTCACTGAGAAGATTCACCTGCAGTGAATGTTGTGAGCATCACAGTAACTGTTTTATAAATATGCCCCAGAATAACATTCTTTGGTCAACCTTTTTTTTTCACTGCCAGTTTCTTCTCCTCCAATAAATGTCATTATGCTTTTTCTTCTCTTTTTGCTACTTACCTTCTCCATGAATGAAGGAATTCTCTTTGTTTGCCACTGTGATCTCAAATGAGTCTCCACTCTGTCAGAGCTAAAGAGATAAGATTTAAGAGGGTGTCCTCTTAGACCAGACACATGGCACTCTATTGGATGCCTGTCCTGCATTAATAGGCAGGGAGAGAGGGGCTTATCAGTGGTGACAAAGCTGATAACTCTCCTCTCACCTTACACTGAAGATGCAGCTGCATAGGTGGCAATAGTAGGAAAAGAGTTGATACATATTTCCCATCACTTCCTGTCTCTGTGGTATAGGAAGTAAATTGATATTTCCCCAGTGTGGACACACCAATAAAATCTAACAAATTCCAACCATTTCCTGTTCTAAATAAAATAAGAGTTTTGGCAGTAGCTGAGCTTTAGCCCAACTACTAACACCTACATTTAGCCCCCGGTCACATCGGGTGCGACTTGGCATGCGATTTGCATGCCAAGCGACTTGCAAATCGTATGCCAAGTCACACCCTATTGTCTGCTTTTAGTGTGGTCGTATTGGTGTGGTTCCGACTTGGTCGGAGCAACACCGATTTCTAAAGTAGTACATGTACTACTGTTGTTGCGATTTGCATAGACATCTGTGTCAGACGTCTTACAAATTACAATGAAATCGGCAGGTCACCCAGTTTTGAAATTGTGCGACTTCACTGTAAGTCGCACGATTTCAAAAAACTCGGCTTTGATGTGACTGGGGTGTTAACCCGTAAAGCAGAGTTCCAGCTAAAAAAAATAACATAAAAGTCAGCAACTACAAAAACTGTACCTGCTGGCTTTTAAAAATACAGCCACTTACCTGTCCCTTGGTCCAGCGGTGTCCTCACCACTGCTGGTTTCACTGGCCGTCTTCTCTCTCTGGCGCCAGCATTTTTAGTGTGGGCACCCGGCTGTGACAGCTTTGTGAATGGCCCTGTAGTCTTCTGGGACCTGTCACGTGTCCCAGAAGACTACGGGGTGGGAGGCGAGGGAGGACAACTTCTGCTTCCGATTGCCTAGGCTATCGCAGTGGAAGTGGGAGCGGGTACCTGTCAGATTAGGGGACATAGCATTAAAGCGGAACTTCCCCTTTTGGGTGAAACTCCACTTTAAGTAACTCCACTTGTGTGATGAGAAAAAAACAATCGCCTCTGGGTGACGTACATTGCAAGAATTTTAACAAACTTTGCTGCAGTCTTACCTTTTGCTATTCTGAAGAAATTAATTTTTTTTCCTGTGTCCATGTGCAAAGTGAATCTAACAGAAGTGGTTTTATAATTATTAAACAGGTGCTGAGGAAAAGTGCAGGATCTGCATCCTTTTAGACATCATTTCCAATTGAGAATACCTTGCAAAAAATGACATTTGTGTTGCAGGAAATGCCTGAAAACCGACTTGTATCTATGCAGACTTCTGGGAAAATCAGTCAGCCAATCACACAAACAGTTAATGATATTGCTGGGGGCGTTCTGTACACATTCTGTGTACAGAAAACCTCCAGGTAGCCATATTGCATTGCATTCTACAGAAACATACAGCGCTACAGATTGAAAAGGAAAGGTCATTTTTAATACCATTCAATTACAATATGACTTGTGTCACAATTGTATGTGCTATATTAGGGTTTTTTTATATGCTTTTTTTTTCCCCCATGAAAGTGGAGTTACCTTTAACCATAACATTTAAATTACCACTAACTTAACACTTTAACCCCTTGGCGCCAGTGCTTCCCGACCCTTTAAGGCAGTGGTTCTCAACCTTTCTAATGCCGCGACCCCTTAATACAGTTCCTCATGTTGTGTGGTGACCCCCAACCATAAAATTATTTTCGTTGCTACTTCATAACTGTAATTTTGCAGTGGGAGGACTAGTGCCACATCATTGGTGTCAGTGGAAGGAGTAGTGCCCCATCACTGATGTCAGTGGGATGAATAGTGCCCCATCGTTGGTGTCAGTGGGGGGAATAGTGCCCCATCGTTGGTGTCAGTGGGGGGAATAGTGCCCCATCGTTGGTGTCAGTGGGGGAAATATCGTTGGTGCAGTGGGGGAATTAGTGCCCCATCGTTTGGTGTCAGTGGGGGGAATAGTGCCCCATCGTTGGTGTCAGTGGGGGGAATAGTGCCCCATCGTTGGTGTCAGTGGGGGGAATAGTGCCCCATCGTTGGTGTCATGGGTGGGGGATAGTGCCCCATCGTTGGTGTCAGTGGGGGAATAGTGCCCCATCGTTGGTGTCAGTGGGGAATAGTGCCCCATCGTTGGGTGTCAGTGGGGGAATAGTGGCCCCATCATTGGTGTCAGTGGGAGGAATAGTGCCCCATCATTGGTGTCAGTGGGGGAAGGAATAGTGCCCCATCATTGGTGTCAGTGGGAGGAATAGTGCCCCATCATTGGTGTCAATAGTGCCCCATCATTGGTGTCAGTGGGGGAATAGTGCCCCATCATTGGTGTCAGTGGGGAATATGGGAATAGAGCCCCATCATTGGTGTCAGTGGGGGGAATAGTGGCCCCATCATTGGTGTCAGTGGGGGGAATAGTGCCCCATCATTGGTGTCAGTGGGGGAATAGTGCCCCATCATTGGTGTCAGTGGGGGGGGGGGAAGTGCCCCATCATTGGTGTCAGTGGGGGGAATAGTGCCCCATCATTGGTGTCAGTGGGGGGAATAGTGCCCCATCATTGGTGTCAGTGGGGGAATAGTGCCCCATCATTGGTGTCAGTGGGGGAATAGTGCCCCATCATTGGTGTCAGTGGGGGGAAATAGTGCCCCATCATTGGTGTCAGTGGGGGGAATAGTGCCCCATCATTGGTGTCAGTGGGGGGAATAGACTGCCCCATCATTGGTGTCAGTGGGGGAATAGTGCCCCATCATTGCGAGTCAGTGGGGGAAATAGTGCCCCATCATTGGTGTCAGTTGGGGGAATAGTGGCCCCATCATTGGTCAGTAGGGGGGAATAAGTGCCCCATCATTGGTGTCAGTGGGGGGAATAGTGCCCCATCATTGGTGTCAGTGGGGGAATAGTGCCCATCATTGGTGTCAGTGGTAGTGCCCCATCATTGATGTCAGTAGAGCGTGGTGGAATAGTGCGCCCATCAGTGTCAGTGGGGGAATGTGATCATTGGGGGAAATATGCCCCATCATTGGGGTCAGGGGGGGGAATAGTGCCCCATCGTTGGTGGTAGAAAAGGCGTGTGGGGAGGAGGAAATAGTGCCCCATTCTTGGTGTCGGTGGGGGGAGGAATAGTGCCCCATCGTTGGTGTCTGTGGGGGGGAGGAATAGTGCCCCATCGTTGGTGTCAGTGGGGGGGGGGGGGAATAGTGCCCCATCGTTGGTGTCAGTGGGGGGGAGAAGGAATAGTGCCCCATCATTGGTGTTAGTGCGGGGGGGGGGGAAATAGTGCCCCATCATTGGTGTCAGTGGGAGAAATAGTGCCCCCATTGTTGGTATTAGTCACACAAATGATGGGGCACTATTCCTCCCACTGACACCAATGATACTTACCTTGCTGACCCCTGCTCCAGCCTGGGCTCGCTCTCTCACTTACCTGTCAGCTGTCTTCCTTCTCTGGCCGCTCTCCTTTTCACTTACTCCGGCAGTTCCCTCGATCTTCTTAGATCTACGCGCGCTGCCGCTCGGCTCCTCCTCTCCAAGCTCCACCTCCTCGCCGGTGATTGGCCGCCTGTGTGCCTCTCCTGAGCTACAGTTCCGGTGGCCAATCAGCGGCAAGGAGGCGGAGTTGTTGAGGGATCCCGGAGGTGTGGCCAGGTGACAGGGCAGCGTGTCATCCCGCCCACACATCGACTGAGTCAGAGGAGCGGTGTCTCGGTTCCTAAGACCATCGGAAATATGTGTTTTCCGATGGTCTTAGGCGACCCCTGGGAAATGGTTGTTCGACCCCCAAAGGGGTCGCGACCCCCAGGTTGAGAACCGCTGCTTTAAGGGTTCCAAAAGCCAGGAGACGAGGCAGGGTTTTAGGGCCGTGATTCGCTGTTGCGGTGGTCACATGATCGGGAAAGGTCCCAATTGAAAGAGGAGATCTGGACCTTTCCGTGAGTACCGAATGTGTGTGCTGGGAGCGTGCAGGGTGCACGCTCTCAGCACATATGTTTTATTTTTAATAGAATGCAAATGTGCGGCCGCTCGGCGTCGAGGCCCAGATGCTGGGAGGCCGCACATTTGCATTCAGCCGGCGCCAAGAGGTTAAACTGCACACTCTCCTTGTAGGTGTCAAAATTATATCTTTGCCCCAATATCTCAGCAACGGTGATACAAAATTATTTGAAGAAAGAAGTATATAGATGATGTTTATCTTTTATAGCCCCCATGAGCATCTGATTTATGGATGCAGTAAAAAAGAAAAGCAATAGTAGTTTTAGAGCTTGCTGAGCTATGATAATTGCACTGTATTTAATTTGTTTATATGCAATTACATTTTTTAAATATATGCAAATGCTCAGCTTTGTGGCCTTTTAAAAGATGTATTTGTCCTGAATTTATATCTTACAAGATCATTTTGGGTTGTCTCTTAAGAATATGTATGAGATACACAAAAAAACATTTAATACCAATGGTTACTTTTTCTTCTTTTTTTTTTTAAGTAAAGCCATAACATTACATGGAGTCTAAGAGATATATACACATTTTAGAGGAGCTTCTACAAGGACAAAAGTACGTGTCATTACAATTACATCTGATTTCCCAAAGCACCCTGATGTGTGGATACACATTACTGAGTACATACAACCTCTATTAACCTCTACGGTAAAAGCAGGCACACTCATTGTAGTACAACTTATCAGGCATGGTATTGTACTTGCATACTGCAAGCAACTGCAGGCTGTAGGAACACACAAACTGCATGTATCACATAAAGCCTACTGTGCAGATGTTCAAGGATAATTCGTCATTAGAGAAATACTGTAAGTAGGCTATCCTTGCTTCTCGCTTTCTAAAAATTCTAATTGCTCAGTTGTCATATTAATCCTGCAACACTATTATTTCTAATTTACTCAATGGAAACAAGTATATAGAATAATTCTGACCTTAACCCAATTTCACATATTTTAGGAGGTCAGGGACTCAGAAAGTATTAATTACAGAGGATCAAGATTACAACCATGAAGCTAGTTTTTTTCAGGAAAAAAAGTTAATATTATAACCTACTGTGTCAGACAACTGCCCTACAGTATCCTTTTGTTTTAATATGAAGAAGCTGTACAATTTTGCAGTTTTATAGCACTGAAGAGATGTATTCTGTGTATTCTTAGTAAGTGTGAACAATTCACAGAGTAATTTCAGCATCACCTGCCTGGAACAGCGTTATACATATTAAGACACTTTAACCATTGCGTGCTTGTTCCTGATCAGTAGCCCACTATGTACTGAAACAAGAATTAGAATGACAGCCCTGGACCACTTGAATATAACTGTCTGGGTATAGTTTTGGTAGTGGAGCATGTTCTCAAAGGACAGTCATATTAGGGATGAGCGAAATTAAGTGCTCATTTCCCTACAGGTCTGGTGAAAATCAGACGATTTCTAAAAAAATGGGGAAAGATAAATTTAAACTGAGCTTCGAATATGTGTATCTTTGAGCCACATTTACTTGTGAGCTTTCTATCATAATACAGCATTGCCATTCCCCAGAGGACTCCAGCGTTTCAGATATAGCTGAAACCAGGGCTAGTGTTATAACTCCACCCCGTATAGGATGACCAAACTCATCCACACAGCGCTATACCGTACATAAAACAACACAAAACAAAATGAGTCCATGAGAAGAGCTTAGTACGTGCATATGTATTAGACAAGTGTATTAAATAAATGTGTATGTGATTATTATCAACACCTATTAAATTGCGCTTAGTGTATTAAATATATTCAACAAATATATATATATATATATATATATATATTAGTCAAAAAGCTGCTGCCACTTTAAACAAACCATACTAAATGAGTGAATAAAACAACACAAAGTGTTATAGTAACTCTAAATTAATAGTGATAGGGTGATATACTGAGTACAACACAATAGAATGTGAATAAATAAAAATAATGAGTTCAGTGAATTACTGTGAATACAAAAATTATATATAATAATCCAAAGTCCACAGAAATTGTTCCTCCTTTGGAATCCATCACGTGCTGTCTAATAATAACCAGGTGCCTCAAAGTGTCCACACATGGATGTGCACTCACCAATAGTTGTTACCTCCCACTTTCATGGTTGGCAAAACAGGCTTAAAAGAATAATTTTCCAAATATAAGCAGATTATAACTAATGGGGTACAACCATCATGGAGGTATAATGATTTAAACTATTAAGGATTCCATATATTCCAACGCATATGTATCATACAAGCATGATATTCCTCTTTCTGTTTTTCAGTAATCGGAACTCTACTCAAGCCTTGCTGCCAAGAAGCTCCCTGGACAGCACGTGGTGGATTTGAAAGAAGGAGGAACAATTTCTGTGGACTTTGGATTATTATATATAATTTTTGTATTCACAGTAATTTACTGATATAATTTTTTTATTTATTCACATTCTATTGTGTTGTAAGCAATATATCACCCTATCACTAATAATTTAGCACCACTATAACACTTTATGTGTTGTTTTATTCACTCATTTAGTACATGCATAGTCCACATTGTACACTCCACTTTCATTGTTGATCAGTGTTCAGTGCATATCTTCATTCATAAAGTGATCTTGTGCTCTAAAGTGCTCTGTGTCCACACTCACCAGAAAGCTCTGATCCCCTGCATTGAACATTATTCAAAATTAGCTTTTAGGAATGGTATCCTTTCTGGATTTCACTGGGCTCTACCAGACTTCTCTCTCTGTTTCCAGAAGCGCCACGTCTTAATTATAGGTAAGTATATGGTCATGAACACTCAGGCAGTTAAGTGTATCAAAAAGGTAGAAAAGGCCATCATAGTGTACTATTTTTTATTAACATGTGGCACACTAAAATCATTACACTCACTTAAAAATACACCAGTACATAGAATACAGCTCACAAACAAAACCTGGAAATGTACAATTATCTATTCAGAAAACACAGCCATTAATGTTGCTGAGGAATGCTGCAGCACTGGTATCAGGATGTCAAGAGTACATCACATGCTGTACTATGATACAAATCTTTCAGATGATTTTCCTTTGTGTAGTACTGCCCTCTTGAGCTCTGTTGGATTTGTTTTGGGTCCCCCTAAGTTCTGTATGGCCAGGCAACACACATTTTCCACATTTGCACACTTGAAGTTAGTAAAAAGTCCTTGAGCTAGTTTTTGTTTTTTTTATTTAAGGTTAACAACTTGAATGGGGTCTAGGAGTATATGGGTTGCCCAAGGAACTGCAAACTTGAAAACAATCTTCTTAACAACAATACTGTACAACAAAAAAAAAATGGATCAAATATAGCAACTGACTGTTAAGGAGCACTGAAGTCCCCTTGGTGTACCTCCTCAGACCCCAGATGAATTCTTCTCTTTGCCCAGCTGCACTGAGGGTATCCATGGACAATGGTTTCAAAGATCTGTCAGTTAAGTAGTTACGTAGATGATAGCTAGTTGGGTCTTGCACCTGACCAACCTCTCCCTTTATGTGGCCCAGGGGGTGCTGAAGTACTCACATTGTCCTGTCCTGTTAGCTTGGCTGCTTTTAGGCCTTTTGCTTGAAAGACCTCTTCCCAGCTGACAGTTAATCCTCCCTAGGAGTGGGACAGTGGAGATCCTTCTTTCCAGCAACCAGCCTGCAGGTAGGCTCCTCTCCCTGGGGCCCCCTCCCAGGCTCCACACTCCAGCCTTCTCTCAGTCCATCTTCCAACCGTCTCCCCTGCTGCTCAGGCTCTGCCACATTTAAAGGTTGTCCTTGGTCACTATGCCTGGCCTCCTCCCTGAGGATTGGCCAAGGTCCCTCAAACATGCAGATCTGGGCCACCTCCCCTCCCCGCCCCTTTCTTAGAAAGTTCAGAGTTTCTGGAAGGGTGGGAAGGCTCCAGAAGCCCTGACCTGTAGAGCCTCCCAGCCTGTAATGAGGTGAACTCCTGCTTCACTCCCAGGCTGATTCATCCCTGGCTGCTACCTAGCCTCCATCTAACAAAAATCCTATCTAGCTAACCTAGAGGGTGTTACATTTCTATTATGAAAGAAAAAAAAGCAGCACAAGACAAACACACAGGCACACGTATAATAAAAGTGGCACCAGAGTTCAGCTTTAAGGTGGTTTTTAATGGGTGCTTTAAGCTTCTTTATAGACTTTAACTAGCTCTTTAGGGTTAAAGAAGCTCCTTTCGACTATCCTGGACCTGTTCTTGTGCCAAAAACAGCCCTCATTAGTCTAATTATCTTACTTTTTTAACAAAAAGAAAGAAAAAAACAGACATTGAAAAAAAAAGCTGAATGAAAAAGTTAAAGGGATAATAAAAAAATAATGATACAAAAACACAAAGAAAAAAATAAAACCGTCACAGAAAACATCAAAGTCTCACACTGTTGTGGTAAGGCATGCTTTACAACAATATGCGATACATACATCAATCAGCATGTTGCAACACCATTCATTTTTAATGACACCCCAATGCATTAAGGAAACACACATGATGCACTGCGTTGCAAAAAATGGCACATGTACATTATTTATATGATGTTTTGATGTGTTGGCAGCTTATTCATTTGAATGTGCTGCCTTAAAGCAACAGACATGAACAAAGACACTAAAGTTTAAATGGGCCCCAAATGAAATAAACTAAACTACC